AAGAGGCTTTCACGAGGAGGCGTATTTCGACGGGGTTATGAATTTTCGGAATGAAAAATTTCTAAAAAAAAAGACATGGGAAGCATGGAATATGCTAAAGGAAGTGTAATAGTATATAATACACGATTTTTCTAATTATACATTCGCTTGCATTGTTTGTAAGAAGAGGCAAGCAATTAAATATCTTGTAACTAAAGATGGAAGAATAGGCCACCCGTGCTGCCTTTTATGTTGACGAAACATTCATTCAGCGCAACTTTAAACGCTACGAAAGCTACTTTTTCTATTCGTTTCAATATTCGATCAAAGTTACCATGCTTAAAAAAATATTAAACATTATAGTCATATATGTGCGGAAAGTTGTCGAGGCACACAGTACAATTGAAATGGAGTCATTTCAGAATCTAAAATTCTGTGGTATTATTTTCTGCCACCACACTAGTGATGGAGTCCTCAACGGAGTGTTGCTTGGATATTTTAACAAGCTCAAGAATTTGATCTATTTCCTCTTGCTAAATTCTAAAATGTTTTGGAGATTCGGTGGATTTTATTTTTTTTATACCATTGTTTTCACCATCCTCCGCAGTATCATGTTTTGGGATCCGTAAAGATAGAATTCTAAACTTTCCTTTTTTAAGATTGGTGAAATAAGAATACAGTAATTTCGGTTGTTTGTTCAGATACTAAGTTTTCATGGACCTCTGGCCATCCTGTCGGATGTTATTCCAAGATTTACGTAATGTGTATGTCTGGAGAATTTCATGGTCGCCGAAATAAACTAGAGGACACGAGTATCGTACTGTAAATCTTATATGTTGTAATTGGTCATGATTTAATCACATTTACCTAACTGCAAACCATATATGATAACCAGTGTTCATAATTGAAAACAGTAAATGAAGCAAATGATTTTTTAAAGTCGGTGAGGCTAGTTTAGGATAAAGGTGTTTCATTAAAATTGTTTTAAATATTGTCAGCGTAGTTAGTAATCAATACCTTGACCTTCGTAGATATGTCATGTGTCCTCGTGATTTTAATTTAAAATATTTAAACATTTAAAGCTTAAAAAAGCCAAATTCACATTCATAACTAAATGTTCGTGAGTTGGTGGTCAATAGCTTATCATACTTTTAAATTTGATATCGCAGGATTGGGTAAATATTGGATGTAGCGAAGACAAATCCTTGGATAAGATAGAGTTGTCATATCCTAAAATGGCTACGTAAGAAGAGATAGTAAGCAATGACCCTTTCATGAAGAAGTAGTCGACCTCATAACTAAGTCCTTATCTCTTTTATCGGGCCTATAAAGGAAACCATATCCGTCGTTATGAATGTTCCACGTTCTCTGTTTTAGTAATCCAGTCTGAAGGAATGAATGGCTTCTCAGGCAATTGAATTCGAGAAAAATTTATTTCATATGTTACATCAAATGATACCAAGGATTCAAAACACAGATTTCACATCAATTGTGTCAGAGATTTTATGAATCGAAAACTCGTAAAGAAATATAAGATATTGGATGGAACTATTCCAGATATTTAATGGTGTGCTATCAAGTGTCGCCATCTTGATATAATATGTTTTCCACACCACTCCAAAACAGCGTGGTCGACCTTTTGTCGACAAAGCTGGTCATTAAAGTCTCTAGCTGTTGCATCAGTTGGCCGTCGATTCTTCCTTTCGATGATTAAGAGGGGATAACTGAGAAGTAAGGATCCAATTGATCGGGTGATTTTAAGATTGCAGACTTTAACCTCTGCGCAGCACGCACTGGTGATAAACAAGATAATGTGTGGGCCAGATCTTCCTACCGTGCACTCTCCCCCACATCCCTATAAATTGCATATCCTTGTGTTCCTCGTAACTATTTATTGAAAAAAATAGTTGATGGGTTGTTTAGTAAAACTCATATAACATTAATGGAAAAATAATTTTTATTTTCTTTATTTTGTTCGGAAGTTGGACTATATCATAAAAAAAGAGTAAATTTTAATATTGAATGCATTATTCTCTCTGAACAAAGTAAGATGGAAAGGGTAAAGCTATAAGTTCTTCTAGATAACCGGAACTGATTTTTAGTATTTGGTCTTAAAATGAGGGAAATCGCGAAATTGAACCCAAAAATTGGAAAAATACATTAACCGAAGGAGAAAGGAAGTGCCAAAAACCTCGGAAAAGAAAAGAATCAGTGAGAAAATCAGTATCCATTACATGGCTAAACGAATATATAGTAGAGAAATGAACAAAATATTTCAAGATGCTGCTAAAAAGGGATAAAATGCTGAATCAGTTTGGATGATATTAAGGGGACGATGCAGGTTTATTATGGTGAAGACCATTTTATCAGTAAAAAAGATTTGTTCGAAGAAATTTGCAAGTCAGCAATCTGTATTGGCAAGTCTGGACGAAGTAAACCAAACTGCTGCGCGTACATAGGAAACAAATGTATTCGAAAATTATATATTGTCATCATGATTGAAATTTATATAAGTACTGTAGTTTTGTCCCTTTACAAGAAAGATACTAGAAAATGTAATACCCATCAAAATTCAATCCTGGTTAGTGTACCAAAGAAACTCTACTCAAGAATCGTAGAAGCTGAAATAAGAAATATTGTCGATTGCCAGAGCGATATGGATTGAGAAGCTCAAGTTGCACATTGGAACAGAAGTCGCAAATCGGGACTGTCTTCACTTTAAGGCAGGTTATAGAGCATTCCATCAAGAAAGAAAAATAACTCTCTATCTGCTTAGTGCCTCACACTTTGGATTGTGCTAATATCTACTAGTCTTTCAGAAAACCTCGTTTTCCTTTCAGATTCCTCCAAAAATCTTTTACAAATGCACTAGGGGAGCTATTTCCCTTTCTCGGTAGACCTTTCTATAACCTGCTTCAAAGTGAAGATAGTCCAAATGTGCAACTAAGGTAGCAATAAAAAATAAAATGGTCTTCACCAAAATAAACCTGCATCGTACCCTTAATTTCAACCAAACTGCGCCCGCATTTGAGCCCCGTTTAGCAGCATCTTGAAATATTCTGTTCATCTGTCTACTATATATTTGTTTAGCCATATAATGGATACTGATCCTTGTTTTCTTTTCCGAGATTTTGGCACTTCCTTTCTCGTTCGCTTGGTGCATTTTCCCAATTTTTTGGTTCAATTTCGCGTTTTTCCTTATTTTAAGAACAAATACTAACAGTTCCGGTTACCTAACAGAACTTATACCTTCGCTCTTTCCATCTTTCTTTGTGCAGAGAGAATAATGCATTCGATATTGAAATTTCCCATTTTTTTATGATATGGTCCAACTTCCGAACAAAATAAAGGAAATAAAAATTAATTTTTTTATTAGTGATACATGAATTTTACTAAACAACCCATATCAAATATTCATTGTATGTAGTTCAGATTAGGTATATATTCTTTTTGGTTTATAAAACAGGTATTAATATGGCTTGTTTTCGGAGAATTATATACAATTTAAATGACCTCTAAGAATCAGTAGATATACAAAACAAAGTCTTAAATTGCAAATGTTAAATAAAAAATTCAGGATATTCAGCAAAGTATTTTTGAATTAATTTTTAGTATTATATATATATTATATCATATTAATACGTCATAATCATATGTCATAATTATATCATTTTTACTATAGAGGCCTTCTTAAACGACCTCGGTATAGAATAAAGGAAGCTACACTAAAAAACAAATTCACAAATTAAAAAAAAAAATCGTTTAATTTTTTTGTAATACTCAATATAATGTACCAAAAAACGTTATTACACCACTATAACTAAGCCATTTGTGAGTACTGAAGGTTTGTTGGCGCCTACGCCAGTACCGCTTTTCTGTCGTGCAAGTGCATTTTCTACGGAACTGCTTCAAATATTTTAAAAAGTAATCAGTGTTTTAGAAAGAGAAATATATTCTCCAGATGTTTTATCTCAGCACGTTTTGCGTTATTGTTGGCCGATTAATTACAAACGACGCTGGATTTTCAACTTGAAATTTTTTTCATTAAAAAAATTGACTTCACTGGTGTTTTTTATTGCCAAAGCCAATTATTTTTCATGTTTTATTATTCTATGACTGTCCAGCTTTAATGAAAGACAAACTATGACAAAATGTTGATTCTCAGTGACCAAAAAACTAACTAAAGTCAAAGTTGTCAGTCAGGCGCCATGTTAGGACGCCATTTTGTGGCAGTGCGTTCACTTTATTTTGTGGGAACATTGGCTTTTATTCAATAAATATTTACAACGAACACAATGGTATGTAATTTATAGGGATGTGGGGAGAGTGCATGGTAGGTGGATCTGGTCCACAGAATAAGAGGTTTATTTGTTCAGGGGTGTCAGTTCTACACATAACAGCTCTTTGATGGCAGTTTTTGTTTGCACTTGTTTCAGTATTCAAAGACATTTTATAATTTATCTGAACTCACATAGTATTTTTACATGCCAATAAAATAAAATAAATTTCAAAATAGAAATTATTGAATAGAGGATATGAAAAATACACTTTATATGTTTTGTTTTTTATGACGAGAACTTCGGATAAATTAAAAGAGAAAGTTTTATTATATTCATAAGATATTAAATGACATAATAGTATGTTCCATGAATAGTAATATAAAAATTATCCTTCTAATAAGATTTATAGATGAACAAAAAATCTTTAAAATCAAATTATTAAAAATAAAAATCTACTGAAATGAGTTTTGAGTTTTTTTAATTCCTTTTTATTGATTGATAGTGTAAAATTAAGTTCATATATATTTTTATGAAACTACAAAAAAATATTAAAGCTGTTTTGAAAAAGTTAGGGAGCACTAATCAAAATTTCCATTTCCAAAACAGCAATAATATATTTTTATTTATTTAATTACTTAATTTACCTATATTGAATTAAACACTTATTATTTTCATTTTAGAATTTTTGCAATATTTTTCAAACTTATCAATAGTAAAATTTTATAGGGTAATAGTTAAATTAAAGAACAATAAAAAGTTTATATAAACTGATACAAGCCTTTTATTAACAATAGACATTCATATAGTTATATCAGGTACTTCTTTACACATTATTTTCCAATATATACACTCAAAGACTACATTTTAATTACAACTATCCATTACAATTTCCTAATCATAATGTACAACATTATATAATAATTTAAGAACAGTTGAGGGCCAATATTCTTGAAACCCATAACAAAAAGATGTATATATATAATTTTTTTTTAAATAAATCTATTTTCCAAAATTTCAACAATTGTTATAATTTGAGCAACAATCAGTCTATGAAATACAATAAAGCCAAATTGATTAATCATTCTTTCTTTATTTTCACTTTTTATAAAATATTATTTATAAATTAATATTTCTATATTATCAACCATAATTTTCAGTCTGATACAAATCTCAATAATGTTTTTCTTCCAAATTTCGCTACCTCAACATTCATAAAAATTAACTTATAACGTTTCATAGACAAAATACGAAGGAAGACAAAGGTTATATTCAAAATATATAGATTTAAAGCGCATATATAAAGATCTATACAATGCAATAATAACCATGGTATTAATTAAATAACACTAATTGAATACAAATAATAGGTTCCAAAAATATAAATCGATAAAAAAAAAAATTCAACTTGACTAGTGGAACCACAAATATGCCTTCTACAGCCTACTACTAAGAATCATATAAATGATTACAAAATTATATTTTCACTAGTATATACTTGTAAAGATCAGTCGTTTCATATCATACTTTCCGTATATACATAGTGAGTAATGTTTTATCCATAAAGTTATAAAAATATATATAACAAACAACATATATATAATAAAATCATGAAAAGAATCACAAATGTATCCTAAGATTGTCTCTCATTTCGTTGAAATTAATTTTTAACATCCAATCTTCTGATTCTTGTAAATAAAATTAAACCTCAACATATATTTACACTAGTTAGATTTTTTTTAAAGATTTTTATAGAATATATTATATTTACAAACACTTGCTATCAATAGGATATAAATACCTATTTTTTTTTGTTACTGTACAATAAAATTTAGAATAAAACTCTAATATTCAAAATTATTTAAAACTGACAAAATCTAAAAACTGCTAGATAATAAGAGTTCATTAATAATTTAATGAACAAGGTAAAGAGGAGATAAGTCATATACAGTACCTCAACATAAACCACGATTCCTCAAATCTTTCAAAATTTAAAAGTCAAGGAACTTTTACAATAGAAAATCCAATGCACATTCAGTTAAATAAACATTAATGAGCATACGAGGAGATGTTAGATAGGTGGAGAGAAGAAACTCCCTAATTTTTATGAAAACACAATTTGTTTCCTAAATATCTTCAATGATTCTGGTCTAGTACGATGGATATTTAATATAAATTTAAAAATTAAACTTATGAATAAAATTTGTTTTTCACTTTACCCCTTATTTAAAAACAAAAAACGTTTTTTTCTAATAAATACAAACACTACAAAATCTAATTTATATGCTGAAATGTTTCATTCATTTCTTTAACCTCAGTCATTTTTAAAATTAATAACAATCATGATATTTCCATCTTTACTGTAAAAGAAAGTTCAAGCTGTTATTTAATACACATAATTTAAACAGTTAAAAAAATAATGACCAATTATGATGTAAAAATGACAAATAAATAATTTACTTAAAAGTATATAGGCAATGGAACTCATCCATTATGGTACAATCCGTTTATCATTGTACCGACTACTGCTCCAATGAGTTATATCTCACATGAAAAACTTGTGATATTTTTCAAGTTGAATGTTCAATAGAAAGATCCCCATGTCTCCAGCGCTATGGATGATGAAACATAAGCAGAGGTTATGGGTTTAGGTGGACCTTCGGGCACACACTGAAAACTGTAGTTGGCACCTCCGTTATTGTCCCAATGCTCTTCACCAAGAACTCGGTACTTGATGGCGAATTCCATTCTCTGCCCGAGATCCAACGCGAAGATGGGTATCGTAAAACCGAACCTGTCAGCGAAGCCGTCGTGACTAGTGTCCACATAGGAGGCCTGGATCTCGGTAAAGCTCCTCCACTTATCGCCCGAATAACGAACCGCGACTTCTTTGTGGTAATCCAAGTTTACCACTTTTACCGTACCTCGGATCTTGAGGCCTAGGGTGGTGGTGACGTAGGCGTTCTCCAGGCAGACCTTGCTCTTCGCCAATCGGTCGCTGAATTGCTGCTGGCCTCCGGGCTGCATGAACAGGGGGACCAGGGTTTTGTCCTGTCTGGTCTCCTTCGGCGATTCCAAGGGGTTCGCGTCAATGTTTTTCAAATCCTTGAAAGCGGATTTCGGTATCCTCGGAACTTCGTCAAGGAAAGTATGGACATCGGCTAAGTCGAGACCGAGAACGTCGGCGAATCTCACTATTTTCTTCTGGCCGCTGGTTCTAGCAGATTTCAGCGACGACGATCGTCCCATCGTCTTCTTTTTGTTGTCCTCCTCTGGGTAGAGTAGAAGGAACTCGTCTTCTTCCTCGAGTTTCGGTTCCTCTTCTGTCTTCTCGTGGCCGTTCGTCTCCTCAGGGAAATTGGATATGCTCAATGAAGATATATCCCTGCACAGGTCTATGAAAGATGTAAATGCGGGAGGTGAGAAACGGTGGATCTGTGGGCTCGATCGTTCTCCGTTGTAATAGGGGCCATTGAAGCTCTCACGGCGAGCTGTGTCCACTCCTCCTTGCATTTCTGTCGAATCTGGAACAAAATAATAAAGTTGCTTTTAAAAATAGCGTTAGTATAGTCTGGTTTTCAATTACTTAATCTAACTAATGATACACAACATTTATTCCATTTGAGCCAAGTGACATTAAAAAATACATAACGATTAGGATGTAAGTATAAACAAGACTGGATCATATTGTGTTTGTTCTGAACATCTGCCAGGTGACATAACCCCACGCCTTACGCCCTATACCTTTCAAGATCCCAGACTTATCAAAAAATGACAACAGAACTTAATGAATTCAACGCCTACTGGTTCACTTCCGCCCGGTCACAATGAACCAGTTTATGGCCCTAAAGCTGACCCAACCATATGTTAGAGGCAAACTAACCTGTGCGCAACTGTGACTACACACATACAGAAGAAATTCAAATTAAGCCCACATAATTTACTATCCGAGTCATTTTTGACAACAATAATAATGTAATTTATAACTTACAGTTGAATGAAGTGAAACTGAACGGTGCAGCAATCTGCAGCTGTACTAGGCTCATAACTACGAATTCCTCAGAGACGGAACGGGTTGTTGTAGACTCGGTAACGAAACGCGACGATATGAATTGTACATTAAGATAAATAACTTCAGTCGATTATATATCGAGATATGGCGATCACTCTCCCACACAGCGATAGGAAGGTATAATCTTACATCTGTCTACGGCGTGTCTTCCTAAAGTGGAACAATTACCAGTTAGATCAGTTCTTATACAACAATAGATATCGTGTCTAATAAATATCTCGGAATCAGATAAACATCAATTAAAAAATAAATTTAAATTAATTTTATTTTCAGGATTGAAAAATAATTAATTCATTTTTTTCCGTTGAGTAAAACGTTCCCATGAACAAATGCTTAAATTAATCGCAAGTCATGTTAAAAATATTAAATAAAATATTTTAAGTTTGAAAAAAACCGACTACAGAAATCTGAAAATCTTATCTATCATAAGGGAAGGCAGTTGCATATTTACTTAAAGATCTTGATAGAGAAATTTGGGATAGTTGTGGAATACTTTCCATCACCCAGACGAAACTCGAGATCATCTCGGTAGTTGACATGTGCTGAAACATGACATGAAATCAACTTGCAAGGAGACTAAATTTAAGACACCTGACTATTCTGGAGATGCTTTGTTTTGTTTTTTAATTACCATATTTTATTTTGCCTTTTTTAATTTTCAAATATTGATCATTTCTATTCGACTAACACATACGATCAGGATGTCACACATGATATGATATGAAACTAATAATTTTAGAATACTAAGTGTATTCCTTAAGGTCAGTTTAATAAAAATCAAAATTAACTTTTGATAGCTATTTATTGAACGTTTTGGGGAATTTGTGTCCACCTCTTCAGCTATCTGCAACATATAGTTAGGTTTAATTTAAAAACTAGTCATTACTAACTAAAATACATAATACAACTTGTCAAAGGTTTGTAGGAAGGCGGGTTAGGATAATTAACACTATTTGTTATCATAATCCTTTCAGTTGAAAATCAGACATTGTAGCAAGCTTATTATATCATTGCGACTTCAATATTTTTTTTGGAGTATAACATGTAAATAACATACATAATTTATATTTATTTGAAAAGTTGTTTTATGTGTTATGTATTTTATTTATTAATGGCTGGTTTTTAAATAGCATTTTAAAATATATTGGCATATTTTTTTAGATTGCTAAATAGGGGAACACAGATTTCGCCAAACATTCAATAAATTACTATCAAAAGTTAATTTTTATTTGCATTAAACTGACTTTAAGGCAAACACTTAAGTGTGAATAGAAATTAAAAAAAAAAAAGGTCAACATTTAAAAAGATTGAAAATTTAAAATATTTCTCTCAGTAAAAGTTCAAACGATTTCAAAACACTCGCGGGACCTCACCAAACAATTTCACCCATCAAAGTTAAAAATAGATCCAGCCGTTCAGTTAAAAAATCGTTACAAACGTTTTAGCGGATAACCCAAACGCATAACCCCGTGACGCTTCGCTATAGTCGGGTAATAAATGGCAAATCGTATTGAACAGTCTTAGAAGGTAAGTAATGATCTGGAAAAACACTAAACCTTCAAAGTAAGTGTCTTGCACAAATCATTACTTACCCTCTTAGACTGTTCAATACGATTTGTCATTGATTACCCGACTATGCGTATTACATATTCTCTTTAGAGTACCTTAAAAAATATTAATCTAATTAATTTAGGGATAAAAGAATTCTTTGCATGAATATCGAAAAAAAAAATCCAAAATAACATACATTGAAACCATAATAATGAATAATTATATCTCTTGATAAAAAGAATATTGGAAATTATTACTAAATGTATAATTAACATCGAAATACTTAAATTTCGAGAAGGACATATGCAGGAAGAACGTTCTTCTAAACGGCAGAATGGGCAAGATGTGTAAGAGTGGTACTATTTAGGAGAGATGAGTTTCATGAGTTGGAGGCTCGCCAGGGAAGAAACGAACTTGGTAAGTTTATTTCGGAAAATTTTCCCAAGGTCAGCACCACTGCGCAATACTCAACGGTGGACAACAGGAAAAAAGCCAATTTCCTTTCATCCGATACCGCAGGTAGGAAAATCACCTTGGATGTCTCGTTCAGTTCTCACAGGTTTCTAATTACAGGCTGCATCAAGCGGAGTATCGATATTTGTATCGGGGTTCAAGGCCAATTCAAGTTGTAGATAGCCGCAAATATATTATCCAATAGCCTCAATTGAAAGAGCCATCTTCTCTAAGAACCAATGAGAAACATTCGCCGTAATTGGCAAATATTTGTTCAACTTGGAAACGAAAAACACTTGTCACCGAACGCTGCCTTGCCTTACTCGAAAGCGGTTGTTATGACGAGATAAGGCCACATGACGTTCGGGACATAATTATAGCTGTCTGCATTTGTCATATTATTTACTTTTTAAATATGGAATAACTACAATTATATTTTAGCGGTACATGCATAATTTTTATACATATGATTCTTTATGGATGCGAAGCGTGCCGTTTATATTAAGGGATTAAGGGATTTTTTGAAGATAAAGTTTTGCGTAGAATATTCGATCCGAAGGACAAGTCAATCAGAGAATTAAAAGGCGGTCTCACAATGCCGCATTGAGCTTCTGTTTTTTGGCCTTCCCTTTCCTCTCCTTTTGGGCTATACGGGGTTTTCCCGAGTTAGGGGATGAAGATGAGGGATTAATGTCAAAGTTAAAAGCCTCCCTCCTCCCTACACGTGACACGAACTCTTTATTATTTTAGATGTTTTTTTTTTATTTTACTTTTTCAAAGTTCAGTAACTTTTTGAAGAGAGTTATGTAACCTAATTCTACTCCATATTATCAAATGGATCAGAACCATTATATTGTTAACAATGATTCATATTAATTTTAATTAGCAAATGAAATTGATACCACGTAATTTCTATACTATTCTACAAATTTAAAAATATTTCTTTAGGTTTTGTAAACTATTTCCTACCGATTTAAATCATTTTGTTAAGTAGTGTCGTACTGTAGTTCCAAATGGATGAAAAAAACCAATCGTCCAGCTTACAGAGTTTTATTTTTAATTTGTATAAATCTCTCCTAGAAATGATACTTTATTTGAACAAAATCAAAGGTATACAAACACAGTTGAATTGTTTTTCTTGAAAAATATATTTCAAGTAGTTAACGACCGGATCCACAAACAAAACCTTTGACTCGAAACAGTTGAGAAATGGTGTGTCTATTTCTGAGCCACTGTTTAAAGGATTTATTTTCTCTTTCTCGGAACAGATTTTTATAATGTACGTAATTAAAAAGTGGTAAATAAAAACAAAAAATAAATAAATAAATACATAATTCCAAATAAAAGAAATTTCGGTACTTAAAACTTGAATTGTAGATTTCACGTCGGTCTAATTATCTATCCTGAACAGAAAAGCTAGTATATTTTTTTTAACTCGAGGGTACAACATCTGGCGTAAGTTCAATGCATTCTAGCTGAATATTAGCAAAATTATGATATTGCTGGATTCGGACTGTTTTAGGTTCGATTCCCACTCGGATGAGCTATCATTTATTTCGCTGAGATCATGTGCAATGGAATTTGACCTTCCCACTCATGTTAATACTCTCTAGATGTAAATTAATAACTATACAAGTTATGAACTCAAGTACCCCTGAGATAGTGGGGAATCCTTGGCCTCCATCAAATATTAAATTCACCAACAAGTTGCAAAACTTGTCTTCCTCTCAAGGGTCCGCAAAACGGACCGAAGATCTATATGTCACGCTAACTCCTCAGCAGCAGTCCCTCCCTCGTCAACACGAATGTTGTGAGGAACCGAATTCTTCAGTTCGTGTTAAAAGATGTTAACCGTTCATGTTCATGTTAACAATAATTTTAAAACGTATAAGTTCGACGAACCGATTGTCTGAATTTTCTCTCTATATATTTTGGGTGTGTCAAAACAGAAAATGGAAGCATCAAAACGAATACTTAAGATTTATAGTTTATCTCATGCTAAGTTTGAGGAGTAAAAAAATTGGTAAGTCTATTTTGGATTAAACTAACAATAAATGAAAGGACTTTTCAATAAAAATGTCAATTTCTTCGTTTTGTCGCTTATCAGAAACGGATTCGAGATTTCACTTTAAGAGTTTATTTCCTCATATACTATTCCCAATATATTCCTAATATACGACATAATTTAAAAAGGGTATACATATTGTAATTCTTGAAATATTTAGTTCTGGTTAATGCAATTTACTAAATTATAAACTAAATATTAGTAGCTTAAATAATTTAATCGAGGATTTGGCTTTTCCGATGTCTAAAATTGTTTGAGATCTGTCTTGACCAAGTAATTCGCGTTAGCCGAATATATCATAAAAATATTCCGAGAATTGCATTAATTTGGACGATGCTAATTAATTAGTGTTAAATTCAGCGATTTTCAGATTATTCTTTTTAAGGCTAAGTGCAAATGAAGGTTAAGTTTCTCATTACCTTAATCTGGATTAAAGATCTTATTTTCCTCTTTTAGAATTATAATTTTACATTTCTATAAAATTTCGTTAACCCTCAGAAATTTTTCATTCGCCATTCAATCAAATCTTTCATACTTTGATATATGGATATAAATATATCACTCTTTTGTAGCGAAAATCGATTAACACTTATTCATCGATTTTTTTTTTAGATTTACCTTGTTCGTCGAAGTCCTCCACAGAGCCTGTGCGATTCCCGTTCAATCTTTGGAAGTGTTTCGCCAGCTGTTTCAAATTCTGTTCCACGTCGTTGTCGCAATCAGTCTGATCTTTTTTTTCGGTAAGTTCTTCTGCAGATGGAGCCATCAGCTAAAGGATTAAAATTTTAATTAGTCTACTTAATATATCTCCCTTAAATATATTAATTTATTGTAATGATATAAGTGTATAAAGTATTTATCGTAGGAATATAAATGGGATCCGAATATATATGAAATGTTGTATACTTGTATCGGCATCGGTCATAGGGATAAACTGTACTTTGTTATACTATCAGTAAATAGGTGAAGACGGATTTTTGCAGTATTTGCTAAACAAAATGCTTAAAAGGAGACAGGAAAGATAAGACAGGGAGAGAGAATGGTTCTGAAAACCGAATAGAAAACATTATCTTTTCTTTTTCAAACTAAGTCTTTTTGAATAGAAATAACCTTATGAATTTAAACAGCTGGCTAAAAATGCATTGTTGGAAACCAAGTTTTTTTCCTATGCATAAGAACACAATGCATAACGGTAGAAGTGGATTCTTAAAAGACGTTTGTGATATTTTATTTTAAAATTAAAAACATTTTTTCATTTATTTCCATTTCATAACTTTAATGCAAAGCAATGTTTTATCTCTAGATAAAATGTCCGCAATTTCAAAATGTACTCTAAATGTGTCCTTTCCTTAGCAAACAATCCGCAATATCGTTTACGAAGGCCATTACAAATAAAAATAGAAAATTTTACCTTGGATTTGTTAATAAAACAACTAAAGAAAATGATAATTGAAAATTAATTCAGTTTAAAGTTAATACAGGAGTCTGTACGATTTTCACATTGTTTTTTCTTCTTATAAATAAAAGTATCGTCTTAATGAACTCGGTTTTTAATAATTAATCATAGATATATTAAGATAATATATTTATTTACCTTTGAGCAACTAAATTTTCATATAAAATGTTGAATGGAAAAATAAATTTGATTATGTAAGTCATGTTATTATTTTAATAGAAGATAGCGTATGAGTTTGAACGATTTTTGTAGGATTTTTTTTTTAATTTTTCAAAATATTATACTTGAAATATTATATAAGGAAAGTCTGTGCGGAGAAAATTCTATAAAACGTATTACGGTAAAAAATAAAAAATAAATGAATTTTCTATAGGAAGGAACTTTCTATACATCTATACGTATATATTTTAAAAAAAATTGACATTAAAATTTAATTATTAACTATTCACATTTGCAATTAAATAAAGTTTGAAAAATATAAGTGTCTAAGAAGAAACAGTTATATATTTATTGTATTCTTTCTTTTCCAAAACACCTCCGATACTGGTTGTAGTGAAAAAGAATCTCACCAGTGATGATAAATTCGTAATAATTTGAATCCATATGTTATTAATTTTTAAGAGATAATTTAATTACACTGGAGTTAATTTTTATTAAATATATGGAGTATAAGGACGTCAGTTAATATCAGGAGAACATGGTGAAAGAAATGGAAAACAAGGGGAAATGCAACTTTCAAACCGGAAAAAGAAAAAAAAAGACATATTTTTTCTTCGTGCTGTATAGAACTGGTAACTGCCCTTGAAGACAACTTAATCCCGATACTTTTAAAGGTCGTGCAGTTCTTTAACCTTCGTTGGAAAACAAATATCTTTTTACAATTGTTCATTGCTTACAGAGTGAGAGTTTTTGCGGCTTCGCAGCTGTTATTTATAGGAATCATTGTACTTTCTTTTCTATGGTGGATAGTAAAATAATTTGAAATCGAAAAAATCTGTTCGAAAAACGCCTGATTAAAAAGTCGAATAAAATAAATGAAAACAATTACAACTTAATATCAGCTTTGTCACATTCCAGCTATATAATTACTTATATCATAGTTAAAAGTTTAAATGAGTATTTTATATATTTCATAATGAGGCTAGCTAGTCTGCCAGGGCATTTTAAATAGAGAGAGACAGAAGAAATACTGCAAGCTCAAATATTCTAGCGATGAAGATGAGACAGAATTAGAATTTGGCATTAACACATTGGACAGAACAACAGAGGAATTCCATAGAACCACTTCAGAAGAATTTCTCAAAGAATGAGTCGAGGCTAAACAGATATTTCTCAACTCTTCTTAACTTAGACCGAATTCGGTCATTGGCCATTATATTACATAAAAAAAAAATTAAATAAATAAAGTTATTAAACTGCGAGGATAACGAAAAAAAAAGTTTACTATTGAAATATTAACTGTAAAAAACTGTAAAGGTTCTAATATTAAATGTTTAGATGATTGATTCAAATTTAATTTAATTCAAATTAATAACATACAACTTCCCAGAAAAAAGAAAAAGTTCATTTCTTTGATTATAAACACATTTGTGAACACATTAACTGTTGAATTTTAATTTTTTTTTCTCATGGGTGATCAATCAATTAATCAATCAGTCAATTATACAAAATTTTTATTTGTAACATTTCAATCCAAACTTGTGGGTCATCTTCAGAAAATTTTAAAATACAATCAGAGATATAATATTATACGACCGATAATGATAAATAATAAATTATAGTGATTGATGGTACATGAATCTTAACTATTATTAAAAGTTAAGTACAACTGTAATAACTGTAACAAGTTATTACAACTGTAATAATAGTTAAGATTCATGTACCATCAATCACTATAGCTTATTATTTACCATTATCGGCCGTATAATATTATATCTCTGATTTTATTTTAAAATTCTCAGCCCTGAAGATGACCCACATGTTTGGGTTGTAACGTTGACACAAACTAAAATTTGTATAATGACTGCGTCCTGACTATTTATCACCCATGATATATAGAACAGTCGACTAGCTTACTTCAATTATTTTTTTTTTCTTTCTCCAGGGTTATTGGGCGTTTTACGATAGTTGTTAATATAAAAGAAGAAAAAAAAAACACTTTATTTTAGGATATAATTAATTTAATTTAAATATTTTTTACAATCATATATATATGATATATATTTTACCATAGAGTCCTACCCTAAAATTTAAAAAATGGGTGATCTAAATTTGATTTCCTTGATTATAAAAACTTAGAATTAATACTTAAAAAAAAAGCTTCTAGGTTAATTTAATTTATATATATTTTACAAGTAATGATCATTAAAGAGTTTCTGTACCAGTAATCGTTTACATCTCTTTGAAATACAAATACATTACATTAATACATATTTAAAAAAGTTAATAAATAAACCAAATTAATAAATGAATAAAATAAATAGCTACTCTTATTAATTAATTGATTAACAACTACAGGACCTGAATGAACCGAACAGGATTATTTTTATAACAAATATTTTTGAATTGAATTAAATTCTAGTTTTCGAGAAGAAAGTTAGATGTTAAAGAAAAGTTTGCCGAACAGTGGACGAATTCCAGCTAAAATATCGGGTTAAAAATGCATAGAACTTAATAGCTTTTTTAAAGAACGACCATCAATATTCCATGCCCAATGTATTTTAATTTTTTAAATCCCTGTTATAAATCTTTGAAACCAGATAATATTCGATAAAGTTTAAAATGATTGTGAGCGACCCCTGGCAAGATATAATGGACCGAAGACCGCTGGATGTTGGTTTTAATTTTTCAAAAGGGTCTCAGCCCATTGTGTCCACCTCAACGCCTTCAATTGTGTCGGTTGATTGAGATCCTTTGTTGAAACTTGCGTTGAACAAACCTTTCTAAATTGGTCCTTCATTTTAATTAAGGGTAGTTGCATTTTATTACAACCTTAAAGGTCTCTCAATGGTCAGATAAAGTCAATATTTAAAAAATGTATTTCTTTAAAAAAAAATTATTAACTTCGACGTGTTGCTGATTTGCTAAGACTCACTTGGATTAATAGTACAATGACCATTCTTATTTAATCTCAATTTTAGAAAATTCATCCTACAGTAAATTACATTAGCACTCGGGAATGTCTACATTTATTATTATTGATTTGGAAATAGATGTTTCTATAGAAACTACTTGGAATTTCTATTGATAATAAATTAAACAATCTATAAATTATGTATAACTCAAAAAATCAAAAATATACAACGTGTCCTGTAAATAGAGGAAAATGTTTATAGGGGTTACAGCACACCTTACTCAGGAGCAACAAAAATGTTCATATAAAATTCAAGATCTGTTTTTTTTTTAAATAAGTCAGTTTTCTGTTTGATATAAAAACTATAACTAAAAAAATATTTAATTTAAGTAATTAAGAATTACTTCACCATATACTAGAGAAAATCTATTTCAAATGAACGTAGAATTTATCTTTGTTAAAAAAACATTTAGAAAGCACTTTTAAGCGGATAAACTATGTGGACTTAAAGCTCAGTAAACAATGAAGTTTTTCTAAAAGTGGGGTATATGTAGTATAGTTAATGTGGAATAAAAAAAACAAAAACATAATCGAATAATTCATAATCTTTTTAAAACATAACTTATGCATAGTTTATTCGCTCAAAAATCTTTTTTTAAATTGTTTTGACGTCGATAAATCATACTTTAATTTGAATTAAATTTCCTCTAGTATATGGTGAAGTAATTTTTAATTACTTAAATTAAATAGTTATTTAGTTATCGCAACAAGAAAATACAGAAAAAAAACACAGAACTTTAAATTTCTTCTTTTTTGCTGAAAATGAGACCATTGTTAATATAAATTTATTTGTAAATATTGAGGCTTTCTATTACACCTACAAGTATTTCTCTCTACTTACGACAGGACATCATGTATAATGCACAGAATTTTCGTAATTAAATAATATTTTTATATCACATATTCTCAATGTTCAGATAAGAGTACTATTTTAAAATTATATTCCATCTATTATATTTATATACAAATCCAAAAATCATATTCCATGAAAAATCCAAAATATATCATAAAAAAGGATGATGAGGGGAAAATCAATATTAATAAACAAAAAACAAAAACAAAGAGTTATTGATAAACATTTGTAAAACCAATATATCGAATGAAATTAATTAGCATAAATTATTTCTATAGTGCATTTGCTCCAATCAATAATTTAAGTGCTACTTTGATCAAGTGTTGC